TGGCCACAACGCGCCTGCCCTAACCATCCGAAAAATATCGCAGCGCGACCCTACCTAGGAGTTGGAGCCCCTAGGAGAGCAGCATTAGTAGCAACAGTAAAGCTACACTAGCTAAGCTAAAGCTAAGCTAAAGCTAAGCTGAAGCTAAACTAAAGCTACGCTAAAGCTAAGCTAAGGCTAAGCTAACACTAAGATAATGTCAAGCTAAAGCTAAGCTAGAGCTGAAGCTAAAGATAAGTTGAAGCTAAGCTAAAGCTAAGCTAAAGCTAAGCTGAAGCTAAACTAACGCTAAGCAAAAGCTAAGCTAAGGCTAAGCTAACAATAAGATAAAACTAAGCTAAAGCTAAGCTAAAGCTAAGCTGAAGCTAAGCTAAAGCTAAGCTAAAGCTAAGCTAAAGCTAAGCTAAAGCTAAGCTAAAGTTAAGCTGAAGCTAAGCTAAAGCTAAGCTAAAGCTAAGCTAAAGCTAAGCTAAGGCTGAGCTAAAGCTAAGCTGAAGCTAAGCTAACACTAAGCTAAAGCTAAGCTAGCACTAAGCTGAAGCTAAGCTAAAGCTAAGCTAACACTAAGCTAACACTAAGCTAAAGCTAATCTAAAGCTAAGCTAAAGCTAAGCTAAGGCTAAGCTAACACTAAGCTAAAGCTAAGCTAAATTTAAGTTGAAGCTAAGCTAAAGCTAAGCTAAAGCTAAGCCAAAGCTAAGCTAACACTAAGCTGAAGCTAAGCTAATGCTAAGTTAAAGCTAAGCTAAAGCTAAGCTAACACTAAGCTAAAGCTAAGCTAAAGCTAAGCTAAAGCTAAAGCTAAGCTAAAGCTAAAGCTAAGGCTAAAGCTCCCGGGGGGCTGGGGGAACCGCGGGGCGGGGACTGGGGGAACCGCCCGGGGCGGTTTCCATTGCCCGGCCCCTTTAGCTAAGAGAGTAAGAACCCTTCTAGGCAGAGCCTAGGTAGGGAAAAAATTGTTAAGTCATCATAAGTGGCTTCTTTTGGGGGTTGTCGCATTCTCGCATGATTGGTATACAGGTCTGGGCCGAACTCAAGTTCTTTGCCCTTGTAGTGGCGTGCCGCCGCCCGCCACGCTTGCTGGTCGAGGGCATTGTAATATTCAAAGTCGAGCACACGCTCGGGGTCGTCGTTGACTAAATCAATGTACTCATGGTCTTGGTTGCGCCACACCCATGGGGAGGGCGCCTGGATACCAAGGTCCTGGAGCGCGGCCGCTGTCGCGGTGAGAGTGCCCGTGACTTGGTTCCACTTGCTGCTGGTTGCTTGGAGCTCCCTCCAGGCCTTGCGCCACGCTAGCTCGAGCGCAACGCCCCTGTCTGCACGCGGGCGAGGGAGGAGTGCCAGCCACTCTTTAAAAAGTTTGAGACGGCCAAACACTACTGGGCCCTGAAGTGCCGCGGGGGAGGTGACACTGATCGTCGTCGTCGCGCACCCTCCTTCCTTACGGCCAACCATGCCCGATAATTACGCCCTGAGCCTCAGCAAAACTCTCGGTGCGTTCCCTTGGGCCTCGAGGCTCCAGGTGGCTTGGGGCAAGAACCCCGTCTTGGCTAATGAGACTGCTTTGCGCACTGGCTTGGCTGCCTGCCTGATCAGTTGGCCTCGTGCCTGGCCGGCCTGCATTCGCTTGCTTGCGGTCTTCGTTACTCGACAGTGGGCCGCGCCGTCTACTCCGAGGTCTTTGGCGAACTGGCTTGCCTTAAGTGTGATGCCCGCCTGCTGGAGCCTGGCCTGCACGGCCTTGGCTATTCGCGGCGGGTTGGAGACTAACGTAGTATTTACCGAAATTCGGAGCCGTTGCCCCTTGCTGCGCTCGGCGAAATGCATGGCTGCTGCTGTCTTGTCCGTTACTTCGCGCCCAGTGCCTATGGTGGCTTGGGCCAAGTCATCAACCCAACTTTCGAACTGCACACGCCTGCACTGGGCGTGAAGCCCAGCTAGCATTTGCCACAGCGTCAATCTGGACATGTCCACACTCTGGCTGCAACCTGCTGGGATGCCTTGACATGCCTGCACTGCCTCCGCTACTGCGCCGTTGCCTTGACAGAAACGCGGGCCAAAGTGAAGGCTGAGGGCCAGGAAGAGATGCGTGAGCGGGCATCCTACTCTGCCCCCTACTTCCCACAATTGCCTGGGCGGGAGGGCGCCATACAACTTTCCCATGTCCCACGGGACTTCGCACCGCGAGAATCCTTGCAGGCGCGCCATCTCTAACTGGGCCTGCCGCAAGAGGGCAGCACGCAAGCAGCTGGACCCAGCTACTGCCTTGTCCCAAAACTGTACATGCTCACTCGGCCAATCTGCTACCTGCGGTCTCCTGATCCGAGACCATACTTTATAGAGTGCCTGCGTTAGTGTGATGGGCTTGTCGGCCTCCTCAGATTTGGACATTCGCTGCACCACGTTGACTAGAATCTGCTCTAGCCAGGCGGGGGATTGCTCGACGAGGTTGAGGAGGTGTAGCAGAGGTGGCAGCTGGCTCCACCAGCGCGGATTAGTTCTGTCCGTTCCCACGCCTGTGACTGGTTTAAACACTTTGAGGGCCCCCAGCACTTCAGCCAGCGAGATCGGCTCTAGTGCGCGGCTATGTTGTTTGGTCGCTCGGCGAAAGGTAGGCCACCACTCTTGCTGGCTGGGCGGAGGAGTTCCTTCTACTTTCCAAAAACCTGACCAATACTGCGCTTTACTGTGGATAGTAAGGGGGGTTCTACGATGGGGCCCCCTGCATGACCTTTCTCGCTGGAGAGCACCTGCTCAGGCGTTCCCCACAGCTTGGTGTGGCGGCGTGCTGATCCCGCTCCTTTCTTCAGACGCTGCTGGACCCACTCCTTGAAACTGCGGGCCGACTACGGAGGTGGTGTCTCTCAATCTTCATAACCATGTAATCGACAGACCGTACAAAGCGCTTGGCCCGCGCAGCTGGTGCTGAGGCAAGGGTAGGCAGCTGCCTTCTGCAATGGCGGAGGAAGGCGCGACAAGTTTGCCCCTTCCAATCCGCTGGCCTCCCAAGGAGGTCTTCCAACAGTTGGCTAGCCGCCTCCAACGCCCCAAGCACCAAACCTCCCTCCCGACCCTTAGCTAACAGGCCTTGGGCAGAATGTAAACGAGCTTGCATTGCAGTCCACATTGAGAGGGGGGTCTTTTCTGCCAGCCAACCTGCTGGTTTGGGCGTCTGGAGCGGCACTACTTTAGCCTCTGGGTAGGCGCCCCTGCTGGCCTGTTCTAGTTTGACTGTTTCTGCCTGCCTACTGAGCATCAGGTGCTCGGCTGCCATGGCAAACTCCATGTACACATGCGCTGGACTACCGTAGCGAGCATGGGCCAGGGCAGGGCGCTGCGTGCCGCGCTCCACGCGCTGCTGCACGGCCGCGAGGTGAGCTTGCCATGGCAAGCCAGGCCCACATGCTAGGGCTACTGGCGGAGGCTGCAACAGTACTCAGGTCATGACTGGTTCTGGCGGCAGGCGCAGTTGTCCTACGATGCCAGAGAGGGGAGCGGTCCACGGTCCTCTCATGTCCCACTCCAAGGGTACTAGCCCTGACAGCTGCTCTGGCACGAGGCAATAGTCGATGACCCTGTTGCCCCCTGGCTGCTCCTCTGGAGGCCTGCGCCGGGCCGCATTCAAATCTGTGGGGAGATGCATGCGCTGAAGTTCTTCCTCAGTCATGTTCCAGTCTGCCAATGGAACAAAAAGTAGGCCCTTGGCCTTGAGAAAAGATGCCACGCTATTGGGCGTGACAACGTTCGGGCCTGCTGATCCGATTCCGACTGCCAGATACATGGAGACAGAAAGAATCCTTACGCCTTGCAACCGAAGTGAAATTGCGGTCCACTGCTCTCGTTCCTGCAGCGGTGCCTGTTGTGCCCTCCAGGCTAGATGCTTGCGGACACTGAGCCAAACTCCGCCGTGACCTCTACTCCCTGAACCTGCCGCGGGAACCGATGATACCGACTTAGTGTCACAGCCCAGCTTGGATGTATGCTTCTTGCCCTGGTTGAGGCGAGGGCCTGACAAATGATGCCCGGCGGTGCCCCACACTTGGGCTCGCTCTGGTGCACCTGCTGTCTGCTTCAGCTAAGCCATGCCCTTGTCATTCCAACTGGTGACTTGCGCGAAATAGAGATTGAGGTTGTCCAGTTGGCTCCTGTCCCCAGTCTCTGTGCGCCGTGGCCCCTTGCTTCGGGGCGCTCCAGGCTCTCCCGTCGCAAGGGCCCTCGGGGGCTCGCCTGCGCTGCGTCCCAGCGCAGGCTCTCCGGGCCCGCGGCGGAGACTCCCAGCGCCGTGGGCCCTGGTCGGCAGTCGCGCCGCCGCAGCTGCCTGGGGCGGCTCCCCTCGAGTCGCCGAGATTGAAGTACTCGTTCCCGTGCCGAAGCCTCCGCCTGGGCACTCCTGGGGTCTTTCAGGGCGCTCTCCAGGGATCGTGGACTTCGCGTGGGCCGTAGGCGGGGCACGGCTCCTGCATCCCAACGTGGTTTCCATCCCACGGTGCAGGCCTCTTATGAGGTGCGTGCAACCCGCGCCCATGCCGACGCTTCCCGCCGTGCCTGGCAGGTGGCCTATGCCTCGGGCTCCAGGCTCAAGCGTCGGCTGGGCCTCTGAGGGAGTGCTCTCGCCAGGGCCATGCGTCTTCCACCGCTCTCCAGCGGACATGACTCCCTGGGGCGCCGTCCCTCCAGTCGCCGCAATTGAAATCCTCGTTCCCGTGCCGCGGTCTCCTCCTGGGCGCCCCTGAGGACTTCCAGGGCGCTCGCCAGGGATCGCGGGCCGCGCATGGGCCGTATCGCTGCATCCCAACGTGGTATCCATCCCCTGGTGCAGGCTTCCAAGGGTCCGCGGATGTCCCTCATCTGCTGCGCCGTAGTCGTTTTGCTGCCTCCGCTTGAAAGAAGCTTGCCATGGCATTGACTCGTACATTTTCTGGCGCGTTCGGGCCCCATTGTGCCACGAGGTCCCGAATGCGCTTTGCCGCGTCCTCTGCGCCACAACCATGTCCTCACTTGCTTCGTCTCCCTCGTGCGGTACTGGGACGGAAGTGGCGCCTGCAGCGGTAGCAGGAGGAGCATGAGGGCCACCAGCATGCCCTGCACTCGGCCCACCTGGGCGCGGTCGCAGCGCTTCGTCCTTCGCCAAGAGCGCTTGGGCTGCCGTGGCCACCTCACTGCCTCCGCCGCCTGGGATGTCCCCAGCCGCTGCCTGCCCCTCGTCAGTGTGGACGACCAGCTGCTTGACCAGGGTGGTGAGCTTGCCGATCTCTTCCCAGAACTCCTCACCGACGGCCACTGGGGCTGCCGCCTGCGCGCCGCCTCCGACTCGGGCTGCTGCCGCAACCCTGGCCTGCTCAAGGTCGGCGCGCGCCTGGCGCAGCAGCTCCTGGAACTCCACCACTTCTGCTGCGGCCTCCAGGGCGGCATGCTCAGCCCGTTCAGCTCTCTGGGTCGCCTGGAGTATTCTCTGCTGCTTGGCTGATTTGGGATCTTCCATGCCTGCTGCTCGCAGGCGGCGTCGGTATAGGATCTTGTCCCGTTGGCTTCCGGTGAGGACCCCCGCCAGCAGCTCGAACTGGTCCGACGCCACTAGCACCCAGGACTCCATCTGTTTGTCATCGAGGACTGGAGCTGGCGGCGCTGACGGGGGCTTGCCATGGCCTGGCTCGCCCCCATTGCCGCCCTGCGACCACGGCGGCTCGGCCGCCTGTCCGGGTCCCCAGGTCCACAACCCTCTCTGCTGCGGGCGTTGTCCTGGGGCTGGGCGTCCTCCATGCGCAGGGTTGTAGCCGCCGCAGTTGAAGCAGCGCGCCTTCGCCGTCTGTTCCACGCATTGCACGCGCGGCATCCCCAGCCCACCATGGTTTGAGCCAAGGACTGCGGGGCGCTCGATAGAAGAGAATCGTGTTGACTGGCGGGCGAACGCCAGATGCCGAAAGCAAAAGCTCGTCCGACCTGGTCAAACGAGGCGTGACTTTGGGGGCCGTCACTCCCCCGCACCAAGGCCAAGTCCTGTGCCGAAACACTCCGGACTTGAGCCAAAATGGCTACTGCCTCCTCCTCCTCCTCCTCCTCCTCCTCCTCCTCCTCCTCCTCCTCGTTCTCCTCCTCCTGTTTCTCCTCCTCCTCCTCCTCCTCCTCCTCCTCCTCCTCCTCCTCCTCCTCCTCCTCCTCCTCCTCCTCCTCCTCCTCCTCCTCCTCCTCCTCCTCCTCCTCCTCCTCCTCCTCCTCCTCCTCGCCCTCCTCCTCGCTTTCCCCTCCCCCCCATCCCCCCCTCTCGTCCTTGTCCTCCTCCTCGTCCCCCTCCCCGCCCTCCTCTTGCCGCTCGCACGCTACAGTCAGCCTGGCCGTGGTGGGGAGCCCCTGGGGCTCCAGGCAGTGGGGCCCCAGGCCGTGGGGCTCCTGGCCGTGCGGCCCTGGGCCGTCTTGGAGGCTTCCTTGGGCGTCTTCACGGCCTCTTGGGCCGTCTTGGGGCCCTCTTTGGCCGTCCTGGGCAGTCCTGAGGCCATATTGGAGGCCTGTTGGGCTGTCTGGGGGCGATCTTGGGGCCCTCTTTGGCCGTCCTGGACAGCCCTGAGGCCATATTGGAAACCTGTTGGGCTGTCTGGGGGCGATCTTGGGGGCCTCTTGGGCCGTCCTGGGCAGTCCTGAGGCCATATTGGAGGCCTGTTGGGCTGTCTGGGGGGCGATCTTGGGGGCCTCTTGGGCCGTCGGAAGGCCGAAAAGGAGCAAGTACGAGAATCCTTCAAAAGCCTACGATAAAACAATGATGTTGGCCTCGTCGGACCCTCCTGGAGGACCTCTCGGTGGCCTCTTGGGCAGTCTTGCGTCGTCTTGGAGGCTTCTTGGGCGGACTTTGAAGTATTTGAGTATTTGGGACCCTCTTGGGCCGTTTTGGAGGCCATCTTGGAGGCATTTGGGAGGCCATCTTGGGCCATCTCGGCGGTCTTGAAACCCATCTTGAGCCATCTTGGGAAAATGTTTGGGAAAATTGGGCGCCTTCCGGGTGACCGGCGGTACGGGCTGGAGCCCCAGGGGAGAGTTCTTTGGAACGCCAAGAGCGATAGGATTCAGCACGCCAAGCGAGCGTGGTCCAAGGCCCGCACCGTTGGGCGGGCTGCCAGGGGGGTCCATCCCGCCGCGCCGCAGATGACTAATCACACGAAGTTGCCCGAGGCGCCCAGGCGATTTCGTGGCACCTTTCGTGCCCTGTCGTGCCTCCAAGGGATCAGCGTCTGTGACCTGTGTGGCCACGAGACGCGTGATGGGGTGTGCCGAGGTGGGCGTGGTGCCTGCGTGCGGACCCTGCCACTGGGGCCGTGGATGGGGCTTCCTGTGAGGAGGGCAGAGGCGGGAATTGGAGGAGGGAGGAGGAAATGGAGGAGGAGGGGGAGGAGGAGGGGGAGGAGGAGGAGGAGGGAGGAGGGAGGAGGAGGAGGAGGAGGGAGGAGGAGGAGAGAGGAGGAGGAGGAGGAGGAGGAGGAGGGAGGAGGAGAGGAGGAGGAGGAGGAGGAGGAGGAGGAGGGAGGAGGAGGAGGAGAGGAGGAGGGGGAGGAGGAGGAGGAGGAGGAGGAGGAGGAGGAGGAGCTGCTGATCCAAAACGAAGACTCAACACCACAGCATGGCTGAAAGAAATCAAGTGCACCAGCTTCCTTACTTGGGCCCATGGATGCCCGCGTCGGGCCCTAGGACCGTCAACAAAACGATTCGGGACGGAACATCAGCCTCATGGGTGGGGTCGAGAGCCCCCAAGAGAGCCTCCAGAAACAGAAACCGTTGTGTCCCATAGAGTGCGTGTGTGTGTGTGAACGACTTTCGCGTTCTCGCGTTTTCCGGTTTCTGGCAAAGCTATGGAGCCCAAAGACGCCCCGAAACCGCCCTAAAACCGGCCCAAGAGGCCTTCCGAAGCCGTTTTGGCTGAGGCCGTTCTGGCACGGGCCACCTGGCTCAACGCTTGGCTCTCGCGTCGATGATCCTCAGGACATGTGTTAGCCGCGCGTATGTTTGCCCTTTCTCGGCCCTCATCACATCGGTTGCGCCGTCTTGAAGTGCTTTCGGTGGACAGGCACGCGATGGCGCTAGCACACGTTCCGGGGATCATCGATCGTGGCCGGACGGCGGCGAGCTGCCAGCCAGACAGCCGGGCCACCCGCCGCGGCCGATGCTGGCCGCGCCTGCCGCGGCCCCGGCCGTGCGGGCCACGCCCCCGAGACTGGACGACAGCGGGGGCGGCGTCGCCATCAGGGGCAACGGTGGGGGGGATGCGGCAGGGAAGTGTTTCGATCGCGCGTCGCTCCGCCGGTGCGGGCCCGAGACGCTTCGGTGTGACGCGCTGCCCCTTGCCTGGTCCCCAAGCGTCAACGTCCCGAGCTTTTCCGGGGCTCCCGCCCCGCGGAGCGGGGCGACACGCCATCCGCTTGCAAGGCATAGCGCGCCGCCAGGGCCACCGCGGCGACACGCTATCCCAAAGCTCTCGACCATCGGATATATATATATATATATATATATATATATATATATGCATATGTATATATATATATACAAATATATATACCTATATATATTTGTATGTGTGTAGGCGATGTATCGCCGATTCCAGGTCGATGTTCCCCCCAGGAGCCAGTCCCCCTGATTATTCAGGCAGTGGCGAAGCGCCCGGACTCGCCTATAGGCCCACCAAAGAATGTTATATGAACCTTCTGTAGCTTGCACGAAAGGTGTCAGAACACTTCCGGCTGAACCCGTCCCTTGTTTGAACACGTCGGTGGCGTACCTTGTCCTGTGTAAGATCTTCGGCACCGCCTGTACTCTGCACCCTCCGGCCGCCTGAGGCCCCGCCCGCCCGCGCCCTATCTCCCCAATTAGGGCTTCGCGCGCCCCGCCTAGCTCTTAACCGGAAGGGGCCCGCTCCCGACCCGCCGACCAAAAAAGTTTGAACACGTCGGGGTTCTGTTCCGAGAACCCCGTGCTGGTTTCTCGAAGGCTCCTGTGCTGCGAGCGTGCAGTGGCAGGCCCACAGGAGTGCCAGGGCGGGACGGCCGGTCGCCGCTCAGCGCATCGCTGCCCCTCACGTCAGCAGGCGCTGCGAGGCGCCGTGGGGCTGCGGAGGGGGCGACCCCGCGCGAGCGCAGCTGGCCCACGCCGCGGAGCCGACGAGCCTCGAGGCCGTGCGCAGCCTCGGCGAGAGCTGCGCTCGCCGGGGCCAACTCGAGGCCGCCGTGGGCTGGTACAGGCACGGCGGGGCCCCGATACCATACACCACCACCGCCCTCCATTCCCCCTGCCTCCTCCACCAGCTTCCCCTCCTCCACTCCCCCCTCCATCGTCCCCTCCTCCATCCCCCCCCCTCCCCCCCTCCGCCCTCGTCTGCCCCTCCTCCGCCTCCACCACCTCCACTCCCCCTGCCTCCTCCACCCTCGTCTTCCCCTCCTCGCTCCTGGGAGGAGGGAGGGGATCAAGGGACGAGGCGGTGGTGGTGGTGGTGTATGCCTTCTGGGCCCCAGAGAGGTACGCCCTCTGCCTGGATCCGCTCTGCCCGGCGGCGGCCAGCGGCCTCGCCGCGGCGCTGGCGGGCCTGGGCCTGCAGCTTCAGGCGGGGGACCCGCAGAGGGCGATCGGGTGCTACCTGGAGTCGCTGGTCGTCTCTCCGATGAGCTGGAATCTGCACTGCCACTTGGCGATCGCGCACGCGGGGCCTCAGCCTCAGCACCACGCGGGGGCCCCCTTCGCTCACCAGGCGGCCGTGTGCCTCAACCCGCTCCTCGCGGAGGCCTACAACTTCATGGGGGTCGTGTATCGGGAGAAGGACAACATCGAGGCCGCTCTTTCTTGCTACCTCCTCGCGGTCCAGTGCAACCCTGGCTTCTCGCAGGCCCTGAACAACCTCGGCGTGGCGTGCATCACCACCTGCCGGCTGCAGGAGGCCCTGGAGAGCCTCTCCCGCGCGGTCACCGTGGACCCCAACTACGCGGAGGCGTACAACAATCTGGGCTGGCTGTTTTGGGACCATGGCGATCTCGACCAGGCGATACGCATGTACGAGCGTTGCATGCAGATTGCGCCGTCGTGCCAGAGCCCGTCGCAGAACCGGCTCCTGGCTTTGAACTATTTCGACACGTTCCCACTCGACAAAGTATTCGAGGCGCACCGAGCCTGGGGAGAGCGCATCACCGCTCAGGGCACAGCCTTCACCGAGTGGCCGTGCTCGCGCGTGGCGGAGCGCCGCTTGCGCGTGGGGTACATCTCGCCCGATTTCTTTCACCATTCGGTATCTTTTTTCTGCCACGCTCTTATCGAGCACCGTGATAGCGAGCTCTTCGACATCTTCCTGTACTCCAACACAGTTCGCGAGGACGACAAGACGGAGCTCTTCAGGTCGATGGTGCCCGCGGACCGCTGGAGGAAGATCGTCGGCATGTCCGCATCCGATGTTGCACTAATGGTGCGCCAGGACTGCATCGACATCCTCGTAGAGTTGGCCGGCCACACCGCCAACAACCGCCTCGACGTTGTGGCGCTGAAGCCCGCACCGGTGCAGTTCACTTACATAGGCTACAACAACACGACTGGGCTCGGCAGCATCGACTACCGCATCACGGACGCCATCGTGGACCCCGTCGAGACCACCCAGCCGTTTTCGGAGGAGCTCGTCAGGCTGCCCGGGTGTTTCCTCTGCTACACGCCTCCCACAGGCGTCCCCCCTGTGCGCCCGCCGCCGGCCCTGAGTCGAGGTTTCGTCACCTTCGGCAGCTTCAGCTGCCTCGCCAAGATCGGGCCTGCCTGCGCGGAGCTCTGGGCCCGAGTTCTCCACGAGGTACCGCGCAGCCGCCTGGCCGTCAAGGGCAAGGGCTTCGCCTCGGTCGAGGTCCAGCGGGCCTTCGTCGCCAGGTTTGCTGCGCTCGGCATCGAAGAGCACCGCCTCGAGCTCATGAGCCTGACCGCGACGCCGTACGAGCACCTGAACCGATACAACGAGGTCGACATTAGGGGAACGAACCATGACACAAACACAAGAACTCGGAGGCCCGCGCGGACTTCTCGGATCCGCGCTGGACCCCCTTGGCGGCGCCTCCGGCGCCGCTCCGCGCGCCCGGGAGGGGGGTCCAGCGCGGATCCGAGAAGTCCGCGCGGACCTCCGAGTTTTTATGTTTATGGGATATTTCGCTCCCCTGGACGTTGCCCTGGACACGTTCCCCTACGCCAACACGACGACCACCTGCGAGACCCTGCTGATGGGCGTGCCCGTGGTCTGCCTGGCCGGGGCGACGCACGGCTCCCGCGTTGGCCTCTCGCTCCTCACCGCCCTGGGCCTGGCGGACCTCGCCGCCGACAGCCAGGACGTGACGAACGAACAACACACACCCATACCCATAGGGGGGTCGTTGGGAGGAGGACTGGCTATGGGTATGGGTGCGGGTTGTCGGACCCTGGGGAACGCTCCCGTTCGAGCGGGGACCCCCATCCGACAACACGCACCCATAGCCCTCTCCGATCCCCCTATGGGTATGGGTGTGTGTGTTGTTGGTTCGTCAAGGACGCGTACGTGCAGAAGGCCAGCAGACACAGCAGTACGACATCCACAAGACCAAAACCAAAAAAATAAAACATCAACAAAAGGGCAAAACATCAACAACGAAAAGACACAGCAACAAACAAAAAGGTAAAACATCAACGAAAAGGTACAACCAAACCAATAAAAGGCAAACAATCAGCAACAAAAAGGTATAGCTGACACATCAATACGACATCAACAAAACCAAACCAACCAAAGGTACAGTCGGCCCGGATTGGTAGGTCGACCCTGCCAAATCAAGGGTACTCTTGCGTCCTGTGTCTCGCGACCCATGCCTCTTACATTCCTGTGGCAATGTGGCCCTCGGAAGGGTCTTGTGTCCTCTCGCGTGTCCTGTCCAACCAAGTTCGACTGTAAAACATCGGGGGCGGAAAAGAGGTGGGCGATGACTAGGGGGGGGGGACATCATGACGGGGGCCATGACAGTTCCACAGATTTCATGGCGCCTCTTCTTGTGTTAATGCGTCCCCAGCCCCCCCCCCTGGGCCGCGCACATGCCGCCGGCCATGATTTGCACCCCCCCTCTTGGACGCCCCCCTCTTTGCCGCCCCCGATAACATCAGCAACAAAAAGGTGTAACAACAGACAATCGCAAAAAGGCCAGCAGCCTCGCCCGGCAGCCGCACGCCCTCGCCGCCCTCCGCGCCGGCACGCGGCAGGCCTTGCTGAGCTCGCCGCTGTGCGGCGGGCCCGCCTTCGTCCGGGGAAGGTCTTCGGCGACTGCAGTCGAGGAGGAGGAGGGCGGAGGAGGAGGAGGAGGAGGAGGAGGAGGAGGAGGAGGAGGAGGAAGGAGGAGGAGGGGGAGGAGGAGGGGGAGGAGGAGGAGGAGGAGGAGGAGGAGGAGGGGGAGGAGGAGGAGGAGGAGGAAGGAGGAGGAGGGGGAGGAGGAGGAGGGGGAGAGCATCCGATTAAGAAGCCGTTGCAGTCGGGCGTCTGCGTCGGTCCTCGGCGGCCCTCCAGCCTCGGGGTGCCCCTCCAGCAGCTGCGCCTCGCGCCGAGGGCGTTCCCGAGGGTGCCCGGCTCGTCCCGAGCGGCCGAAGATGGCACTCAGATGGCCCTAGACGGCCCAAGAGGCCTCCAAGAGGGCCTCCAGGAAGGCCCGAAAAGGCCAAAATCATAGGTTTCCCATGAGTCGTTGAAGGATTGTGGCATTTGCTTCCTGTCGGCCTTCCGACGGCCCGAGACGGCCCAAATGCCCCAAAAGATCGCCCAAGAGACCCAAGACGGCCCCAGACGGGATGGCGGGGGGCAAGGATTATGATGTTCCGACCTACTTGAGTTTCGACCACCAGAAATCATTTCGAGCACCAAGAAAGTGCCGAATCTTGAGGGTTCTAGGTGTCGGGCCCTGGGGTGCGATACTCGTCCGACACTGCTTCGATACTTGTCTGGGTGCTCGATATTTGTTTCTGGGATGTGGTCCTTAAGCACGACGAGACCAAGATAATACTGCAATCGAGCATCTGATTAAGAAGCCTCGGCCCGAAAAGCTGGGCCAGCGTTCCTTAACCTCGGCGGCGAGCGAGGGGGGGAGTGAGAAGAAGGAGGCCTTCTCAGTCTCGGAAGGCCGGGGGGACTCCCGAGCGTTCTGAGAAGGCCCGCCCTTTCTCACTTCCCCCCCGCGCTCGCCGCCAATAACCAGCTTGCCAGAAAGCTGGCCCAGTTTCTTGAGCACGTTCGCCCCTTTCCAGCGTTCACGGCAGACTGTTGCCCAGGCTTGCTTTCAGACAATCCTGGGAAGTTGTCCCAGATTTAGATTTCTTGCATGATGAGTTTCTTAATCGTATTGTCGGCTGTAACGAAGGGTGAGGTTGCGCCGGGGTGTGGTTTGCGATCTGCGTCGTCGGTGCTTTGGGGTCCACCACGATGCCCTCGTCGGGCCTCCTCGGGGCGCGGCGGCGGACGCTGTCGAGGTCCTCGCCCGCACCCCCAGGGTGCGGGCAGCAAACTGCACCCTTTGCAGACCACAGCGACATCGCCGATGCATCGCCGACGTCCGCCAGGCATCGACGATGCAGCGCGATCGTCCGACCCCATCTACAGTCTAGTAAGGATGGCCAACCTTCCCAAGGGTACGCTTGCATCCTTGCCTCGGCCCATCCTTGGCCACTCGTTGGCCGCACCCCGCTCGGAAAGCCTCGACATGGGTTTGCAGTCAGCCCGCATTGTAAGGATGGGCAACTTTCCCAAGGGTACCCTTGTATCCTTGCCCCTTCGGCGCATCCTTGGCGACTTTCGCTGGCCAACCTCGTTCGAACAACGTTCAACTGGGCCTCCAAGACCCTTGCATCCTTCTCGCGCATCCTTCCTATACGGGTTGACTGCACTCGGACCCCCTTTGGGAGGCCGCGAAGGTATGAGCCAGCGCTGCGCGACAAATGGCGGCGCTTCTGCGAGGGCAGGCCGCCCTCGCGGCAGGCCCGCGCGGGCGGTCAGCTCCCTGGACCGCTGGCGCCCGGCCCCTTCGCCGCGCCGCTGCCGCCGGAGGCGCCCGCGCTGTAGCCTCGCGCGTAAACCGCCGCGCCCGCGGCGCCCGGCCGCTGCGGCGGGGCGCGCGTGCGCGGCAACGCCGGAGGGGGAGGGGGAGGAGGAGGAGGAGGAGGAGGGGAGGAGG